CATTAGGAAATATTGAGTATTTCTAGTGAAAATTTGTGGAAAGGGTTAAGCTTTGTGTAATTCATAAATAAGTGGAATATTGAAATAATTAATTTATGTGTGTTCTCTCAACTAATCTACAACTGAAAAATCTTGAAATCTAACGAAACATGTCCGAGTGCAAAGGGTTAATAGGTCGGCTGAATAAACTATTCGAAACTGCCATGGTTTTCTTTGCAATTAGAGGATTCTTCACGGAAATTCCTTCTATATCGTTCATACAATAGAATGCTTCGATGTACACGAGAAAATGAATTTCCAAGTTTATGTTAAAAACGCTGTGACCCAGATTCGGGTGACGCAGTCAAAGTGTTAAAGCGTAAAGGATTCCCCGCGCTATTTTTATGACCTCGCGAGGTACGTTTCGCAGCGGAGTTTCATTAGATTATTCTTTTTATGTTTCTCGATTAAAGCTTAAACGCGTTTACAGACTTCGTATTATAATTTACTTTCCATCGAAGGAAAATCCAGTTTCGCTTCCAGTTGTTGTAGAAATGAGAGACGCGAAGTAACGAAATGTAACGAAGACGCGTGAAGGAGATAGTATAACGAACAAAGTAGTGCGCTTTCCGATCGAATTACGGAAACCGTAAAATGAACTGATTAATATCTAGAACCGACGATAATCGTCTCCGTCTCGAATTGCCAATCAGTTGCTCGCGGAGAAAGTTTATCGGTAAGTAGGCTGTCGATGTTTATGCGTTCTAATATATTCTTTAATTCGCGCGAGTCGACTGTGAAATGAATTTTGTGTGATACAGAGTCTATTAACCCTTTGAACTCTCCAATATTGCAGCAGGAATAATATTAATTGAAGGGACTACCCTGAAATTATTCCATTTTCCACACATCATTCAAACGCACACCAAAACATTCTTATTTCTGAATAATTCAATACTTCCTGAATTTGAAACAAGCTTTAAGGATAGAATTCATACTTTCAAACAAAAGATATTAAATATTTTATTTCTATCCTAGTCGAAAACGTAAAAATTCAAACAAATTCCATGGGACTCAGCGAGTTAACCCTTATCGGACGAATGTCGGCATTTCTGAGATGAAACTTCCATATTTGGAATACCAAGTCGCAAACAAATGATTAAATTATTATTACTGCGCGTTCATCTAACTGAATGTCATCGCATTAGGCAGCATTTTCAAATAATCATCGTTTAATTCAAGGAACTATAGTAATTCGATTTCAACGTGTTAATCTTTGACGAATGTCGGCATTTTTTAGATGAAACTTCCATATTTGGAATACCAAGTCGCAAACAAATGATTTAACTACTTAAATAGCAAGAAATCATTACACAGTTTCCTCATTCTTTATGATTTAAGTATTCAGCGTTTAATTTAGCAGAAATTTTAATTAACAATCTTCGTCCAAGAGTTAACTGGCAGTCAATGTCGAACAATTTGGTATCGAGCATTAGTAGTGTCACCGCTAAGAGGACCTACAATTCAGATAAATTCGTTTAACCCTTTGAACTCTGTCTCCAATATTGCACCAGTTCTAATATTAAATATTTCAATAAATTTTAAGAAAACTGAGATTATTAGATCTCCTAAATATACAAAGTTTGTACTAAAAAGGGGATTAAAGGTCTAGAAATATTATTAATTTTCAGTACTACTATAAAAATTGGTAGTTGACATATCACAAAATGCGGAGTGCTAAGGGTTAATGAAACCTACGCGATCGCAGCGAGAAAGCTCTAAGGTTTTTTTGCGGATCGAAGGGATCGGTTCCACCGTCTCGTTCGCTGCTGGCGTCCGGAACGATCGAGATATCCTGCGGCTCTCGGTCATGTCAACCCACCGAGGGCGCCCCATTGTCCTGTACCTTTCAGCCTTGCTAATGAAGTAATGGAAACGCGCCTTGAACTCCCTTTTCACCGCAGTACGACGCTCGTTTTAATCCCCCGCCTCGCGCTGCTTCTGCTTTCTTCCTCGTCTCTCGTCTACCGCCATTTTCTTTTCCCTCCGCAATTACATTGGTTTCAGCAAACGCATTAGAACCACCGTTGCCTCACTCTCGTAACCTCGTGTCGCGTGATACACGCCACTGACGTATTTCCTACTAAAATCTGCCCTTTTATTACAACCTAGGAGAATGTGGACGTATCAGATACTGATTCGCCATCTTGTTTCGATGACCCTTTGCTGAGTTTCGATGCTTTGACGAGGTGACATCTTGTTTGTGATGAGTTGTGAATAAATGGTTTAATTACTTTGTATTGTTTAGAGATTTGATTTATATTTCAGAGAATCTTCGGAGGGTTAAATGTCAAGTGAAAATCGAAGTACTCTTGTTTCTAATGTAAGAGGAAGCCATTTGGAACCAATGATTAGGCAATTAGCGCCAGTATACGACTTTTAGTGTTCTATAGCATTCTGTCTAAGAAATCATTTAAACCTTCATTACTTTCCCTTAACCCCTTGCCTTAGAATAACGTGTGAGACTCGTGAAGATTTTAAATAGAATTTAACATAAATATTACTCAAGTACTTTGAATTATAATTACATATTATTCTTCTATTATCAATAAATATTAGTGATGAAGCTGTATCGATCACAGTTGGAAAATAGATCATAGGGCAAGGGGTTAGCAACCTACCGAGTAGTTCAATTGAATTTTGAAATTATAGAAACTCCGAGAGTGCATCTGTCGAGATATCAATTGATTTGCAATTCAGTTTGCTGCTGAAATTTATAATTATTATTATTAGTAGTATGCTCCAATATTGCACCAGGAATAATATTACAATTATTAGATTTACACATCCAAATTTTGCACTAAGGAAAAGGATCTAAGAAATGTTATATTTCTCATTTTACTATAAAAATTAGCAGTTGCTGATCACAAAACAACCAGCTAAGGCTACGTGAAATATTTAAAATAACTTTGTTTCTTAATTTATACATTTCTCTATTTGTAGTTTTAAAGAATGTTTGGAGTGTTAAGCTTCTATGCAGTGATTCTCAATTTCCAAAGAAACTCCAGTCTGAAATTTCATGCAGCAATCGTTAAGAACATTAAGCAACCAACTTTCTATCCTGCAGCTCACGCTGCCCGTTTAAATAGGAAATTCGCCGGTGCCGTGTTTTACGATAATCAATTAGAACGATATGACGTGGCAACATGGTTTTTCGTTCTCCGGCGAATCGCAGAAAGTAGATTGGTTGTCGGACGAGTATCAATTCCGAAGAGAAATGGTTACGACGTTCGTGACGCGCGGTCGTTCTGCAAGATGGTAATCTATAATCGGCAGTCTGCATTCTGTATTCTGTATTCTCCGACGTGGCCGGCGACACTGTATGTATGTCCGACGAATCCTGCATTCTGCTCTAGATCGCGCTCATTTCCACGTTCTGCCATCGCGTTAGCGTCGCACCGATCTTTCCTGATCGAAGCTTCGTCTCGATCCACGATTCGGGATTTACACTATGGAGAGTACACTGGAGAACGTTGCTTATTTGGTAATGATGATGCTGTTTTTGAGACGAGTCTGTTCTTTGATTTACATTTCGATTTTCCGGGAAAAAACCCTTTGCGGTTAAGAGGTGACTCACCACTTGATGTGACTCAGTGAAACTATAGAATGTGATATTTAACGTTAAACTTTGTATAATGTCTCGATACGTGTATCATTAGAATAAAAGCTTTGTTCCTCAGTGTACTGGTGATTTCGAATTAGTCTCAATCATTGTCTTCGTCTCGCAAAGAAATGTTAACCCTTTGTTCGAAGTGCTCTTGGTTTCTCAGTTTGAGGTTCACGTCGACGTTAGTTCATTCAATTGCAGCTTAAGACGATTTATTTATTTATTCAAGAATATTTAGGAGTCATTGAGATGTTACCTTTAAATGGTACAATTGTGAGACTACAAATAAATGTAGAGGAAATTGTTGACGCAGATGGAGCTTGCAATAATTGCCTTTACCACTTGCGCTGGAAATGGATTTACAGATTCGACAAAGTCTCGCGCGAATTTTGTTGTTACCTATTTTACGCAGATGTGCACATTTCATTTGTTAATCATTTTGTATAGAGTGATGCATTCCGAAACAATGTAATATATGCGATGCAACAAGATTATCAATGTGTGAAAAGCATCGTTGACCATTTTGAAACAGAAGCGTCTCGCGCAAGAGGTTAAAACAACGTGCCAGACTTCGCGGTGAAGATTTTCCAATTCAAAGTAACTATTATTCTTCTGCAATGAATTATTATACTTAAAAGGAAACATAGATATGGAGTATCCCTCCAATTAGTCGCGGAATCTGGGAATTATCGCGTTGAAGAGATTCTTTAACGACAAAACTGGCGAATGACAAAACGCGAGATGACTGATGGATAAAGAAATGATTCTTTAACCCTTCGACGATGAATGTCGATATTTTGACGAGACGAAACATCTGTGTTTGGAGGACTACGTCGCGAACGAATGACTTAATTACTCAAACAGTAAGAGAGCGCCTAGTTTTCTTTCTTCCTCTATAAATCTAAACAGGTTCGTCCGTCAGTCCACCCAAGTTCGAAGGCTTAGCGATACAATAAAATTGTTCCGCGACTTCTTGATCTCCAGCCACACGGGATCTCGAGTCGAGCGTCGGTCGCGCGGGGGTCGAGAGGTCGGCCAGGGGTAAAAGGCTTTCGGAGATTTCGAGTGGTAATTTATTTCCGGCGGTGAGGACCGTCTGGAGAGTGTGGCCGGGCACGACAAAAGAAAACTATCTTCCCGAGTCTCGTCGATGTGTCGTTTTCGTTTTCCGGCGCCGCTCCCTCCCGCGTCCCTTCGCTAAGCTCCTTCCTCTCGCGGCTTCGCCCACGGTCCTCCTCCTCCTAAGATTCTAAGGGACCGCCTCTGGACTTTGTCACCGCAAATTAGGATGAAAAATCAGCCGGCGCTGCACGCTCCATTAAAACTCCCGGCCGGGCTTTCAACTTCCACGCACGCGGAAACTTTCCGTTTGTATTGCTCCGCGTTCCTGGATTATTCCGGATCTTGTTCTCCGGGAAACTTTGTCGGTTGGTATCTCGCCTGGAACAAGGAATCGCTGGAAATAATTTTTCTGAAATTCGGAATCGAAGTAATAAGGATTATTCATTGTTTTTCGCGTTTCGAGGATTCTTCCTGTTAACCTTTGATTTCTTTCTGAACTCTGACACAGCCACTTTATCATTAACCCTTTGCACTCCAAAGGTGCCTCTCAGTCACCACTCGATTGGTGCATCAAAATTGTAAAATTCCGTATTTAACATATCTCGTATTTAACATATCTGTATCTCATAAAAATAAATTGAATATTTCTAGTGACAAATTTTTGGAGTGCAAAGGGTTAATTTCTTAGAAAAAGGGAAAAATTCTAGGCATACGCTATGCATAGAAAAGTATAATAATTTATTACAGAGAAATATTCACTTTGAACTCGAATGAACTTCTTCATCGTGAGTTTCACTCGTTGTTATAGGACAAGGGGTTAAAGAATATATGTTACCAACGATTCATTTAGTAATTCATTTAGTAATTGTCTTCCATTATGCGTGTTTATTCCATAGATTTACCTAAACAATTATGTACGTAACTTCTGCAGGTTTCAGCAACATAGTGACGCTTGAATAATCGAAATTATCAAGCAATCCTAAGTCTGGTAACTTAAGTTTTCAATTGCCAAGTCAACAGAAAAGAAATGTTCAAAACAAGTGATCAACAAGGTAAATTAGGTAACAGCGTTTCTGCGCTAATTTCGCATTAGTCAACCGATTTTCGGCACGTAAGTTTCCCAGCTAAGACTGCGAACTGCGAGGAAACAGCTAGAGCAACAACAAAATGTAAAATGCTCCTTCACCATTGAGCTGCCGATGATACTCGTAAAACGGTCGCATTGTCACGTCCGTTAATTAACATAGGGAACGCGTGTCGGCCGACAAGCAATTTATCGAGACAATGAACTAATTACTTTCCGTCGTGCGGGGACAATAGTAATACCCATTCGTTGGTATGTTAAGCGATGTATCTGGTCCATTGTGCCGGAGCATAATAGATATTATGTCACGCGGAAAATGCCTCCGCGTCGTTTGTCGAGCCGCGACCGTTTCAGCGTTCTTTTCCCTGCAAATGGGAGTGTCTTCTGGCCTCATTGCCAAGGACGGCCGTCACGTTCGCAGTTTTATCGTCACCGCTGACGAGAACGCCAGACTAGTGCACGGTAAATAAAAATGAGCCTCCGTTTTATCTCGAAGTCGCTTCATACTTTTATCGCCGCCCTTATTCCATCGCACGCCGATCTCACGCACGATTTTACGCTCCGCGTCTGTCTGTTCTTTTGTCACATTTTAAACATTGTGGTATTATGTTGATGTTACGTTATAACATGTAGCTGTTACGTGCTGGAGTTGATTGTTTATACTGAATACCGAATGTTCCGAGTTAGCAAGAGTAGGATTTCGATGAATTTCAGGGTGTTAGCGTTGCACGTCATGAGCGTTACCAATTAATCCCCTCGTGTTTCATGATAAATACGTTATAATAACGATCTGATGCAGTCTGTAACTGCGGAACGAAGTGCTGGCGCATCAGGAATGTTTCAGAACGAAATTTGTTTGTTTCGAGATATGCTCTCGACGAACTTCTGTGGAACTGCGAGAGTCGGTAGGATTAACCCTTAGCAGGGTGTTTTGTTAGCAACTGCAACTAATTTTTATGGTATTCCTAGCGAAAATGAGAAATAACATTTCGATCCAGTTTCTTTCTTAGTGCAAAATTTGGAAAATTTGAGATTCGTTAAAATATCTATTATTCCTGGTGCAATATTGGAGACAAAGTTCAAAGGGTTAATAATAACAAATTTCGCATATCTATACTATATGTAGCATGATCTATAGATCACTGGGAACATACAAATTTTATAAATAATTTCTCGTGGCAGTGCAATCACAGAGCATTTTGTAAATGTTGAAAACTTTGAATGAAGTATGAATTCTGATTAAATTTATTCGTTCTAAGTACTAACTCATGTTTCTCCTAATCAGTAGATACATTATTTATTAACCCCTAGCACTCCATGTTTTGTAATCTAGCAACTAATTTTTATAGTATTCCTAGAGAAACTGAGAAATGCATATTTCTTCGATATTTTATTTTCCTTAGTGCAAAATTCCGATGTGTTGAAAATCTAATGATTTTAGGGTAGTTTCTTTAATACTAGAACTATCGTACCAGTCAAAATGACTGGTTTCGATTATTATTAAATGTCCAATATTAAATGACGAATGAATATTCGAAATGATTTTGAAAATAGTTTCACTAGAGTACTATAACGAATGTCCGAAGAAACTGAAAATAATCTATTCTTCCAATTTTCATAAGAATTCCATATTAATAATAATAATAATAATAGTGTTAATATTATACTTCGCACATCAATTTAAAGAACATTGAAATAAAATAGCTTTGTTCCTCGGTTTTACAAAATATCTGTATCTCATCAGAAAACGTTGAAACATTTCGAACGAAAAACCGAGTGCAAAGGGTTAGGGGTTAACGGGTTAACATCGACGAACCAGTGTCCCTCCCATACCCCCATACCGTCTCGCAGACACGACCATAAAGAGCGGTACACGCGAATACGAGTGCCAGAATTGACTCTGTAACGAGCGGTGTAATAACAAACGGGCAACGACGTAAGTCAAACGAATGGCTCTTTTACGAGTTCTAGGGGGTCGCCGGCGAGAACCCCCGGAGGAGGGGGTGCGGCCGCGCGGAAACAGGGACGGTAAAAGAAAGGGCATCGGGACAGCGCGCCGAACGAGATACGATCACGTGTTCCTCTCTCTTTCGCTCTCTCTCTCCGAATATGCGAGGGTTCATCCATTAACCCTTAGCACTAGTATTTCGCTGGAAATACTTAACATTTTCTAACTAGAAGATTATATTTTTTTTAGATGTTGAATATTTAATTTTAATAATGAGGATTTCATTTATTTTTTGATATTGAATATTTAATTTTAATAGTGAGTATTTAAATTATTTTTTAGATATTAAGTATTTCGTTGGAAGCACTTAACATTTTCTAACTAGACGAAGATTATATTTTTGGATATTGAATATTTAATTTCAATAATGAGGATTAATTTATTTTTAGATATTGAATATTTAATTTCAATAATGAGGATTAATTTATTTTTAGATATTGAATATTTAATTTTAATAATGAGATAGAATATTTTTTGAAATGAACTCAAAGAGAAATCACAAAATTGAGAAACAAAGCTGTTTTATCCCAATATTTCAAAGGTAACATTTCAGTGACTCTCAAATATTCTTGAATAAATAAATAGAGTACTTAATAGAACTACTTCGCCATTAATTTATTGAAAGAGAAAAATTCTATAGGTATTCTAAGTCTATTTGCCCTAGAATATAGTAATCGACAGAAGAATAATCTTCCATTTGAATTGAAAGGAATCAAGTAATATTCATGTTTGTTCAATTCTATTTAACCCTTTGCGATTTGATTATTCATTTACTGTTCAAATTTCTTCGCAACCACCCTCCAGACATAAAAATCGACATTCAAAGGGTTGAACCACACACATAATTCAAAACCAGAGTAAAAAAACAATCTATCTCCTTTCTATCTTCGCTCAACAATATAATAATCGACATTTGAAATCCTCACGTCCCACACGTTCCTCCAAGACAATAGTTAATAAACTACAGGGGTCGAGGACTCGATTACTCGCAAATGACAGCGAAACGCAACGGGGAAACAATAGGACGAGAAAAATATCGTCTGGATGTCGGAGTCCATTCCAGTAGGCTAATAAGATAACACCGTGGCACGGGAGCGAGCAAGTTGACGCGTAAGACGGTCTCCGGTGCAGTTTTCCGCGCCGTCAATCAGCTTCCAGGAGAAACTCATCGCGAAGGAGCCGCACGGATAATAACGTCTTCCCAGGAGACCAACCAGTAATAACCGAGTGGCGGCTGGAGATTGGGGGTTGGCGGTCGAGGGTTGAATTAGAGGGGGAATGCTTCTCGAGAACTACTAAGAGGGGAGGATTGTTAGCGCTACTCTTACCTCTTGACCCACCCTCAACCGGACCTAACTCCTCTAAGTGTTTCAACTTTCCATCTTTTTCCATGCTCTAGTTTCCATTATTTCCCATAAATTAGTGTTCGTACTTTCTATCAACCTGTATTTTTATTATGTATTTTCCTTTATTTTGGAGATTCGAATTTATTTACCTTTGCACTCGGAGACTCTCAGTCGCCATTCGATTCGATATAAAAATTACAAAGTATATATCATATCAAAAATACGAAATATTTCTATAAAATAGCTTTCTTAATTTACGTATTCCTCATTAGTTCAAATAACATCTACGTCTCATACGTCTCGAATGTTTCTAGTGAAAATCTTCCGAGTGCAAAGGGTTAAAAGTACAGGCATCAAATTTAGAATAAAATTAGAGTTACGCTGAAATTCAGAAATGTCCTTGCATTACGAATTGCGTTTGAAAGCATCGATGCTAGTTGCAGTTACATTGCAGCAGATCATTACAATTCATTGCGAACCACGAACGAATTGGTAACGCTAACGTAACAGTCGAAGTGCCTGGAAATTCGAGCGAAGCTTCGAATCTGGGAAAAGTTCCGAGATAACCTCGCGTTCCATTACCGAAGGCGCCGCTTAAGAAAACCCCCTGACATTTCATTGGTAATTGGCTTTCTTCTGGCTTTCGAGATTGCATTAGCTCGTCGCCTCGCAACACATGCTCGTTTGTCACGAAGAATCCAATTTCTGGCATTTCCCCCGACCGGGCGGCGGCGGGCCATTTAACACGCCCCCGGTTTACGGTCTCGGAAGAACCGCGGATTCCCGAGGAGGGCCGTGTTAAATCCGCGTAATCGTGTTTCCCGCTCGAATTTGGATCGGGGGCCGAGTTTTACGAGGCCGGGACCGTTAACTCGCGCGAAAATAACGAAATACGCCCGGCGGTCTTAGAGCGTAACTGGAGGAACGAAAGTTTGCCGGG